TCTCTTATTGAAAAATACATAAAAAAACATTTACAACAAGAACAAATAAATTGGATAGAAAAATAAAAATCAATTCTTATTTTCTGCTGACTATTTGTTCATTCTATTTCACGAAAAAATTGATAGAATGTCCCACGTATATAGTTATGTTCATCAACTGAATGAGATCCCATGGAAATTTCCCACAATTCATGACCGACTGCTATTCATTCCAACATTGGTCGATCCATATTCTTCTCCCAATTAGTGCATTCTCCCGAAGATGCTATCCAGATATTTGTTTCCATCGTTCGACGCACGCAGATATTTTTTCTCCCCCCAAAAACGCCGCTTCTCTTGGGCAAAACACGAAACGGAACCACATCCGAAAAACCTTCCGATAGTGTTACTGCTGAAAAAATAGTGTAGCTGCTGGTGCAAAAAAGCGAATTTGAATGATCTATAGAGGAATAAAGCAGTCTCAATAAAGATTATTTATGAATCGTTTTGTGACTTTTATTATTTTGCATGTCACGGGTATGCAAATGGATGAATGACTCTTGAGAAGACCGGTTCCACCAGGAAGACAGCAGCAGAGCAAAAAGTGAAACATGTTTTTAACGTTGGAAAATTTATCCAATTTCATTGATGGAAAATTTTTCAGTTATTGTTCCAGTCAGTTTTTTGCGTCCGAGTGGAAGCTTTGTAACCGTTCAAATTTAAGTTGTGGATTTTTTGTGTTATATCGACCCATTATGACCCAAATAGCTCGAAAATGCAGTTTTAGACCTCGTCCGTACATGTGTGTATATGTGTATATAATGTGTAATGAATGGATGGAATTTATTTCATCATTTATTTTTTTTTTACTTTTGAAATTTTTCGGAAAATCGGTTGTCCCACGATAACTTAAAAAAAAAAGTTCTGAATTGATTGAATGACGACTTGAAAAATTTGTTTAGATGATAAAGTTGATAGCAATAATCATTATTTTAATTTATTTCAAAATATGCAGAAATTTTGCATTTTTTGAAAATCGGAGTTCTCGGGATATCTTTGAATATCATACTTCAAATGAATTCAATCATAGCTTAAAATGTTTGTTTCAATGCCATTAAGTCGAAGTTAAAAAATGATTACGATAGCTCTTGATGATTGACTGATTGATTGATTAATTGAGTGATTGATTGATTGATTTATTGCTTCTGTATGGAAGCATTGTAATCGTTCAAATTTAAGTTTTGGATTTTTTGTGTTATATCGACCCATTATGATTCAAAAGATCCGTATGTGTGTATGCAGGGATGTGTGTGGTAATGTTTTTCTTCCATTGTTCACTAATGAATGGGTGGAATTGGATTTTTTTTTTAAATGGAGGTATTATTGAGCTCTATCAATCGCCATTAATTAAAATTCAATTCATCGATTAGTTTTTTGAATTTTCGAATTTTTTCCAAAATCGGTTGTCCCACGATAACTGAAAAAAATGTCCTGAATTGATCGAATGATGGCTTGAAAAATTTGTTTGGATCTCATTTTGATCGAGTTTGAAGATGAATGTGATAGCAATAATTGTTATTTTGATTTATTACCAAATATGCAAAAATTTTGTATTTTTTGAAAATCTGAATTCCGGGGATATCTTTGAATATCATGTTTCAAATCAATTCAATCATAGCGTAAATTGTTGGTTTTAATGCCATTAAGCCGAGGTGAAATGGTAATTACTATATTGATTGATTTGACTTTTATGATGATTGTTGAACATTTCTAATTTTTCATTAATTTTGCTGAAAGTCAACTTTCTGATGGTTTCTCCAATTGTGATGTTTCAAATTCATTCAAGTATGCATAAATAAAAAATTTCTATTAACATTTTATCGAACGGCTGGCGGGAGAGATAGGACTGTAAAAAAGGTAATCGGTTGTATCGAAGACAGGGATAATAAGAATAATGATGATGATAACATTCACCTAATTTGAAAATCTGACAAAAATTTGTTAAAAAGAAATCTTATTCAATTTAATAAAAGGAAATAGACAATAAACTTTACATGATAAAAATAACCATTCGGAAGCATATTGATAATTTATTAGCAAAAATAACTATACTATATACAATACATGAGCAATTTCCCACTTGTTTAAGAATAAAAAGTAAAGTCTGTTATTTCTAATGTTCGCCTGTTCACACGTGGAAAACACCTGTACTGTTGTCATGCAGTTTATTTAAACATAAATGTGTCCTCACTAGAAATGTCTCGATAATCATTGAGAAGTTATCGTTATTACGAAAAAAAATTTATAGAAAAACGTATTTTTTGTTTGGAACTTTATTGAAAATCCTATTACTTTTCCACCGATTCTACTAAAGAAATAGCTTCTCTGCATGAAATAGCTTCTCTGCATAACAATTACCAATGTTAGTATTGAATATTTCCATTCAGAAAACGCGCAGAAAAACAATAATTATTTCATCAAAAGTTCAATCGGAATCGGATTTATATGACGAATAAATTATTTTTCACTCACGCCCCTCCAACTTCCAATTGTCGAGATATTATCATTCGTTTCAGTAAGTAACTTAAAACGTCCTTATCAATTGCGGAGATACCGAGTGCCAATATTCAGTGTTGTTCTCCACAATTAATAGAATCTAATTGTACCGACACATCAAATCTCGGAAAATTCAATAGAACATTCACAATGAGTTATAATTACAAGGGTTTTTGACATTTTGCTGATGACAAGTTCAAATCATCTTTACCGTCGATCTCGTAAATTTTCCACTAGTGTCAGCAGGAAGTGTAAACAACGAATGACGACAGTTGGTTCATTGCGATTAACTCTTGGTCGGTGGTATCCAGCCGCCAAATGCTTTCTCCAGTTCCTTCGCTACCGCAAGGCATAAACGATCTTGATGTGGAGCCGCAAATACCTGGAGATAATGATAAAAATCTATCACAGATGGTGTGGGAGAGATTTTATAAATAGAACCTTATTAACCCTCGATCACTCGCTCAAAGAGCGCGGCGCCGCCCGTTTTAGTAAAAAAAAAATATTTTAGCGTGTTTCTCGACGCATAAAAAATCTGACCAAATTAGAGTTCCTAGTTCAATCCTTTTAATAAGCATTGACGGTGTCAGAATATTTTCTCGGGAATTTTTTTTAGCTAAAATAAGAAAAGAAGCGTCGAACGGGGAGAAAAGCGGCGCCACGCCGCCGGGGCTAGTGAGTCTGTCGACCCTTCGAACGACAGTGTTGCTACATTCACTGCCACCTTTGAAATGCGCGCATATCGGTAAGCGCTAAGGTGGCAACAGCGCGCTCGGTTTAACCCAGCGGAGCTGCGCTAACCGTGCGACGGATGAATGCTGGCGGCCGAGTGCGAGTTAGTCTATACGCAATACCCCCGCAAAATGGGACTCTTTTTTCGATAAAAATACAGCCCTTTTTTCACAATAGGTCTAAACTGAGCTCAATTGATGAATTTATTTTCTAAGTATGATAATAACCGTGATAATGAGTGGGAAACAGTCACATTCATTCATGCGCTGCTCAGTATTCTCTGCTGTCTGCCCACCTGCGCGCTAATCAGGTGATATCTCACGAACCACTTGGCCGATTTTAATAAATCAAAAACCATTTTGTTCGTAGAGATGAAAGGAACCACTTTCACTCGAAACTTTTCCCCGTATCTCCTACCATTTTCGTGGAGAATCATTTTTTCATTAAGAATTGGGGTAAATTTGTTTATAACAAAGTATTGCGCGGCGGGATCGCAAAAAAACCAACGGATTCGGATTCCTCACCCCCAAAAATATAAATTCCAACCTTCAAATCTCGGGGGGCTTTTCATGCCCATAGAAGGGGGTATTGCGTATAGACTAAGTGATCGAAGGTTAAGTGATGAGAAAATCTCATACATACTGTGTTAGATAACTACTCTTAATATTTATAGTCATTACGAATTTCTAATGATGTTCTAACATTAAAGTTCTATTCAATTTTTCCTGCTAGTTTCTGACCGATTTTATTGAAACCATTGGCAGCTTGTGCACACATTTCCTTTTTACAAAGATATTTAATAGACTGTTAGAAAAAAATTGAAATTTCAGGGCCAATTGACTATTAATATTTAGGAAAGTGACTCTGCATGCGATTTAACCCTTCGTTACTCGCGTCCACGGCATCGCGCTGGTGGAATTCTATTTTTTAGTATAACTTTCGAAAAAACTCTTTAAAAAATTTGCAAAAATTCAAATGCCTGACTGATTCCAGTTAAAAGTATACTCTGTAAGTTCTAACCACGGTCAAAGCTTCTGATTAGAGAAAATTCACTCTTATTCTTACTGGAAATAAACAAGCCGGCGCCGTACCGCGATGCGACTGATCGTGTCATGGAAATATTGTATACGGCGTTGCCACACTTGTGGCTGCCGGGAGATCAGAAGAGTGGAAAGACCTCCGCGTGTATCCACTCTCCGAATTGTGGCAACGGTGCGCTTATTTACATTACGACTCGGCGTCGTGATACGAGTAACCGCGTCGGGCAGTTTCACGCGAGTAACAAAGGGTTAAGGGGGAAAAAATAAAATTACATATTTCACATGAAAATTCCGTGAAATTCCACATTTTTGAACAGCATTGAGATGAGAAATTATCAACCTATTTGAATTCTCAAAAAATTCTAAATTAGTCAATTTATTATTCTCATAAGTTATTGAGTTTTTCTATCTTCATATGGGGCATTCTCTATCTCATCAGATCATTTTTCATGATCTCTCGGAACGTCTCAATTTTCCAAGGTGTTCTATGACTCGAGAAAAGTATTCCAGATTTTTTTTAGAATTTTTGTACCGCTTATTCTCTTTCTGCAATTAGATTTTCTTGCCTGATAAAAATACCGTATTTCTCCAGTTTTATGCGTTCAAAAATTATGATTAAAAAATAAACAAGTGCATTTTTTCCGAGCTCTAAGATGTAAAAATGATCAAAAGTCGCAAACCATCAAGAGATCCCTTTTAGCCCAAAAAAGAGAAAAATGTTTTTGGACACTTTTCTTCGTTGTGATATTTTTTGACATCATTTTTCAAGCTCCAAGGAGATTACAAAAAAACTTCAAAGTGGAAAGCGAAAATTCCGTAGTGAAACGATAAAACAATTCCAGTCAATTCAGCTCCTAGCTATATGGACCTATGCAGCGATACCGCTTCACTAGTGGATTCATAACAAACGTAATTTCAACTGAATTCGCATTTACCTGAAACCCAATGGGCAATCCTTTGGCATCCAGCCCCATGGGCACTTGCGTGGACGGAAACCCAAGAAGATTACATAGCAAACAATACATCCCAGCTGATGTGTTTAACACAACCTGTCCAACTAGTGGGGCTCCACACGTAAACGTTGGATACAAGAATACACCGTTATCCCCGAGTTGTTTCTAATTTAATATAACACAGATCAATATGTTATTCAAAGGGAGTCATGTGTGTTCCAACTTACCAAGAGTTTGACCCTCAAGTCTTCCAATTTTTGCAAACAAATCGGTACATTAGAAGGGCATACGAGTCCATTTAAATCTTTGACGAGACTCATGAAAATAGCGGACTTGGTGAATTCGGATCGTCCCACCAATGATTTTAGAAGTTCCAGTGTGGAATTCACATTATCCTAGATGAATGTGAAGACTTTTAGTATTTATGAACGTAGAGGAAATAGTTTTAACCCCTCAAGTATGGCGCCCATATCGCCCGGTGTGTCCTCATCAGCCGGCCACGTATGAACAATTCGTATAGAAATTTTCTATGCGGATTGCGTATAGAATTTTTATAGGATTTTCGTATATGATATCCGGATATTTTTTATACAAATTATTTCGATACGATTTCTATACACGGAGAGAAATTTTTTAGAAAAATTCTAGTGCTAGCACGGGAAAAAAGGCGCAAAATGACGGCCAGGAAAAAATTCTAGTGCCGGCACTAAAAATTTTATTGGAGAAAACGTGAAGTTTTCCGGGTATTTCTGTGAAAATTTCACAGAAATCCCCAGAAATTTTACCAGAAATACCAAGAAATTTTACCTTAACAACACTAGAATATTTCACAGCCGGTGGATTGTGATTTTTTCCAGTACTCGTACTAGAATTTTTCTAGAAAATTTCTCTCCGTGTAGGGTTGATTCTATATGACCCACTGCCACATGTATAGAAACATTTCGTATGGAGTTGCGACATTTCTCTACGTTTTTCTCTGGAGCGTTTAGACATCTTTCGTATGAAAATAAAAATTTATGTAAAAAAAATTCTTGTATAGAAAATATTCGTATAGAAATATCCGAATATCACATACGGAAATCTTATAGAATTTCTGTCCGCAATCCATATAGAAAATTTCTATACGATTTGTTCATCCCGTCTACTCGAATTCGCTGTTCGATACGCGACAATTTCTACACCGATGATAAAAAAATTATCATCTCCAATTTATCGATAATCTTGAGTTTTTACCAATAAATTGTTTAATTACAGTACAGTCCAATCTTTGTGCCACAGGGACTGTAGAGGAATTAAATTCCAAGAATTATGTATTCCCCACTCTACTTGCGCTCAGAGGAGAAAATATTTTGATTCGATATTTTTCGTACAAGATACTAGACGACGTCCAATTTTTCATGATCCTTTGAGTACGATTCTTGATGTGAAACACGAATGTCTGATGAGGGCCCGGTTGCACCAAGCCCTGATATCCAAAAAAACCCCAGGGTAAAATTTATCCTCGGGGTCAATTATATCGTAGGGGTCCTCATTTTTGAATATTTGACCCGAAAATTAATTTTTTATTTATCCTGTAGCCCCATTGGAATTAACACTGATTTAACCTTGGGATTAAATTTTATTTCTTGTTCCTGGGATAAATTTGAGATACTCTCTCGGGTACAATAATCCATCGAACAACCAAATTTAGTTTTTTTCTTATCTGACGTTTTCGTTACCCGGAGATGGTCCAACCGGGCCTACAAGGTATTGTTCCTTTTCAAAATAATAATTTAGAAATTCGGAATAAGGTAGTTTGGTAATAGGGGCCTGCGAGGCAAAATTGACTCTTTCATTGGAATTTTGGTTTTTATAAAAATTAGGTGTAATTTTGTTTTATTTTATCTATCTATCCATCCAAAAAAATGGACGTAATGCACATGCTGCAATGCGTGTAAAAAATGAGTATTTTACTGTTTTATGACCGATGCGTTTAATTTTTTTTATTAACTATAACGAGTGCTCATTCGTTTTGAAATTCAATTGATGTGCAATTAAGTTCTAGATCATAGATGCGTATATTTCCAGTAATTTCTGCAATATCTCAACTCTATTCCCACTCAATTCTAGCCTCTTTGTCGAGTATCTTGTAAGAAGAATACGAAACAAAAAACATTCAAGCCAGAAATTGGGGGTATCACTCGGCACGGTTTGAGGCCTAGCATCGTGTACGAAAGTATCTTGCACGGAGGTTGGAGAAATAGTATATTGTGCATCAACGGCGGAAAGTCATGTTTTCCCGCCAGAGGTACACATGCTATTTTTTAACACGCCTGCAAAGGGAAGTTCGTATTTTGCTCTTTGATGAGCGGGAGGAAAGTACGAACTTTCTGTGCAGGTGTGTGAAAAAATGCGTATTGCTTTATACTGATTTTTCTAGAACGTTTAAGAGTAATCTCAGTTCGATAATACAAACGGTTGCCAAGATCGGCGATTGTCGGAAATTTATTAATAACAAATCAGTAATTCACTGAATCGAAATTTCGTTTGCGGCATTCGACAAAGGAATGCATGGAGTGTGTTGGGTAAAAATTTCATAATTTTTTTATGAAAATTGGCTCGATAAACGAGATATTTGATTTTGGATCTGACACCGAATTCAGTTTCGTATTGTTTATGTATTGAAGGAAAATGTTGAAAGTAACTTGAAGAAAAAATTGAGTTGCATTGTGTTGATACTGTTATCTATTTCATGGAGAAATTTTTAGAATTTCAATATCTACAATAGTACGGAAGATAATGAATTTTTATTAGCCACGGAAAGAGTCCATATGATATAGGACGCCGGCCGGTAGGACAAGCTCTGGGGTCCAGATGTGGCGTGTACGCCGTACTTGAGGGGTTAACAAATCTGGTGGTACATGAGAAATCGTAGGATTACCTTCGTATTAGAGGGTATCAAAATAGGAGGCATGTCTTTCATAGAGAAGAAAACTCCGGTTGCCACTTCACAAGTTTCCGACATCTCATCCATTTCCGGCTAAGGGTGATTTCATAAAATATGAGCGCTTTTAATATTAAGATATTCAAGAACTCTACAAGTTATAGTTCATTAGTGAAGTGGTAAACCGGTATAAGTCGATTTTGACTATTGCCCAGTTTTCAATGAATATCTCAAAATCTAAGGGAAATGGCAAAATTTTTGTCATAATTTTTTTTGTAGAGCAAATTGAGAGCTACAAAAAAGGGAATTACAACAATTTTGCTATTTCCCTTAGATTCCGAGATATTTATTGAAAACTGGTCAATAGTCAAAATCGAGTTATACCGGTTTACCACTTTGCTACTGAATTGTAGTCCGAAAGTGCAATTAATGATGATTTCAAGATATCCAATTCCCTCTTACAGTATTAGGGAAGGATGGGGTAAAACGGACGCTTTAGACTTTTTTCAATTATTCATAACTCAGAAACAAATTGATCAATTGAGCTCAGTTTAGGCTCCTCACAAAGGGAAAGAATTGTTCTTTGTATTGAAAAAAAAATTATTAAATTTTATCAACATTTCAACCCCTCATTAACATTTTTTAAAAAGTCAAAAGTGTCCGTTTTACCCCAACCTCCCCTATACCAGATTATAGACTCCGAGATTTTCAATGAATGACGTCAATTAAATTCTGTGATAAAAATTCGAATAAATTCATAAATAACCTGCGTCATTCGACAAAAAAATTCCCAAAAATTACATTCGTTTGAACAGTAGTTTCTAATGAACCAATAATGAAAATTGTACATTCGGAAATCGCGTTTTTGGCATTAAATAAATTTTTACTATAATTTCGAAAATGAAAATTATGTCGCGATGTCAAAAAATTAGTTCAATTCAGTAGAATAAATTGTGTAGAAAAATCAACACTTATTGATTTTTTCCATCAAATATTTTCTAGGGTGAACAGTCCTATTACGGAACTCCCACTCAATTAACGGAACACTTGAATATTTTGGCAGATTTCTGAAATATTTAGCTATCTATCGAATCGTTTTTTTTTTTAATGAAGTCGATATTTCCATCCCTGATATGAGAATATATTCGGTGGTCTGTCTGCTGTTTTCCACTCAATAATGGAAATAAATCCTGCCAGCTGTCATTTTCAGCCATTTTACGACCGGCGAGTAGTTAGATGTGACAGTGTGATCGCTAATGTGTCGAATGAAGTTATTTTGTTTAATAATCATCAAATGTCGTTAGTCCAGACTAATATTGATCCTAAAGGCTTCATTTTTTCATATTTTTGCATTCGTTTTATCCGAAAGTTCTTATTTCCACAAATATATGGGTGTTCCGCCAATTGGGTCGGGTTTTCATGGCATTTCTAATCGACGGAACACTTATGTTTTCGCTTGGCACGTGCCGTAGTGGTTCAGTCAAAAGTATGTAAATAATTGATGAGTTGAAAAGGTAATGACATTTATGTTTCTATTCCTTGTTAAATTGTTCTGATAAATTCATATATGAAGAAAGTCGAGTTATGGGTTCATATGACCGACCACACGGAGAGAAATATTCAATAAAAATTACCAGAAAAAAAACGTAAAAATGACGTTTCGAAAATCGTAAATCGTAATCGTAAAAAGTAATCTGGGAGCGAAGTAAAATTCAACAAAAAGTGTCAATCGTCACGTAAATTCTACGATCCGTTCCGTAAAAATTACTCATCCATCCGACANACACGGAGAGAAATATTCAATAAAAATTACCAGAAAAAAAACGTAAAAATGACGTTTCGAAAATCGTAAATCGTAATCGTAAAAAGTAATCTGGGAGCGAAGTAAAATTCAACAAAAAGTGTCAATCGTCACGTAAATTCTACGATCCGTTCCGTAAAAATTACTCATCCATCCGACACCTCACGGCTAGCCATGAGTCACCGTGAGGGGGAGATTTTACCAACACGTTCCGTAATTTTTCCAGAACGTTTCGTAAACATTCTTAAACATCCAAGAATTTTCATGTTCTGAGGCATAATAAGTCTTGAAGTTTCTGTTAGAATTTACAACTTCCAGAAAAATTACGTGACAATTTTCGTATTTTTTCGGTGACAGACCCGAAAATTTACTGAACGTTTCAGATTTATTCTCTTATATTCCTATAGAAATTCACTGAAAACGATTCTCGCTTGCGGATTACGTGAAATGTTCCGTAATTTTTCTTGAATATTTCTCTCCGTGCACGTATGAAAAAATTCAATAGAAAAATTCAGCGACTTCGCTATAAAAATCTGTTGGAATTCTATGAAAATTCTAGGCAACTCTCGTTAAAATTCTATTTGTTTTTTTGCGCTGTGTCAATAGATTTCGATTTTGTTATATGGATATTCTCTTGGAATTTTTTTTATAAGAATACTTGGGCATGAATTTTCTTTTTTTTTTTTCACTCGGATCCTGCTATGTAAAACAAAATAAAATATAGTGGAAAAAACTTAGAAAATTGGCACCCAATAATTTTAATAGAAAAAATCTCAAGAGAAAAATTCAAACAGAAAAATCAAAATCGATTGACTTTTTCCCACCAAATATCTAATAGAATCTGCGAAAAAAGAAGAATTTTAACGAGAATTCTCTACAATTTTAATAGAATCCTCATAGAATTCCTCGAGAATTCCAATAGAATATTTTCTAGCGAATTCCCGAAGGTTTTCTATTAAATTTTTTCATACGTGACATTACTCATTTTTACGTTTGTTCACTTGTAAGAGTTTCTTTGCACAATCAAATTTGCATCACAATTCCAATTTTCAATTATAATCTGAACTTGTTGACATTTTTCTACAAAAATATTCTTATTACTTCGGGTTCCTAACCCTTCACGGTCTCACAAAGTTCTAATGTTCCGTAATTGGGCACACGATGTTCTATATTTGGCAAGTGTTCCGTAATAGGTCTTTTGGATCTGGACATAATTTTACATTTTTCCCGATTACTTCTCATTACATGATGTGTTTTTTTTTTTTGAAAACTGCCGAATTTGTAATGGACCAGTGTTTATAAAAATTTTTTCAAACAATAGTTCGTTTTCAATCCATTGTCTGAATCTACGAAGAGTCTTGAGTGTTCCATAATTAGACTGTTCACACTATTGAACATTTATATTGAAAAAAAACGCGCGAAAAAGTTGGAAATTTTTCCACGCAATCGGCGATTGAAATGGAGAATTCAATGGAAATCCAGGGGGATTCTCGAACGAATGCGCTAGGTTTTTCTGCAGAATTTTTTATTGCGTGACATCAGGTTTAGGGCTGCCCACGAGACTCAAACGAGACCTTACTTTTTTTTTAAATTAGTAGCATTATAATTGTTAAAAAAATCTCAGGATCAAATCATCCAGGATCATTTTGTTCAGGATTATATTACGTCAAGATTAATTTAAGTAGGATCATTTTGCAACATTAAATTGTCGCGGATCATTTTTACCAGGATTATATGACGTGATACCACTTTGGAGGGATCGTCTTGGTCTTGGTGATCACGGAAATTTTCGATATTGTCACAGTCTCAAAAGAGGCAGTATCGGCTCTTCTCGTGATGACTCGCAGTCAATTTATCTCATCTTGGTTTCAAGTTTTTCGCGTTTTTTGTGTGTAGAAGACCGAGACTTAAACCGAGACTTTACATTGAAGAAGCACGAGAAACTTGAGACTGAGATGAGATAAATTGACGGAGTCATCACGAGAAGAGCCGATACTGTCTCTTTTGAGACTGCGACATGACCAAATTTTCCGTGTTCACCAAGACCGAGCCGATCTCTTCAAAGTGAAGTCTCGTTTGAGTCTGGTAGGCAGCCCTAATCATGTTATGAAGCTATAGTATTGAATCAATGCTCAAATTCTGGCGATTTAAACTTCCAGACTCCAGCAATAATAAACCCACCTTGACGACTTTTGCCCCTCGTTTTTCGAAATATTGCGCAGCCTTGAAAATGGCATTCCTCGTATCTTTATTCGTAGGGGTTATTCCAAACGCCCTTCCGGCATCCTCCATGTAAAATACATTGAGCTTGCCAATATCAACAGGGTCATCCAGCCGTAAATTCTGCTTACAGTCTGCGGACATAACTTTGACAGCCAAGTGTAAGTCCTCGGCAAATCTGGTCATCGGGCCGAGAGCCAAGTACGTTTGAAACTTGGGACCATTCGACATTGGAAAATGCCCTTTGATTGGTATTATTCCTGTGACGCACGAACAGATATATTCAGAGATGATTAGTAGGTTGAAACGGCTATTAAGAAGGAACTTTTTATGATGCTACTACTACCGGGTGTGGGTTTATGTCCAAATATTCCATTGAAAAGTGACGGGACTCGAATGGATCCGGCAATATCAGAACCAATTCCTATGAGAGAAGCGCCAGCTCCTATAAGTGCGCCCTGAAATTTTAAAGTGGTACACTGAGAAAAAAATTACTTTTGCGAAGGAATTATTTTCTTGGGAGAAAAATTTATTTTTTACTAGCGTATTTCTTCAGGCCACTCATTCCCAGATGGTCAAAGTCTATTTCCAACTGTTATACTTATGGGATGATTGTGCTACATATGACTTTGAACGAACTCCGTAGACACTTATCAACATTGCGAATTATTCTGAATCATTTTACGTAAGAGAATCACTAATTAAAAAAAAAATTGAAAAGTAATAAAGGGTGATCATTCAAGGTCATATGTAGCATAATCATCTCATAATTCAACATAATTGTAATATTTGAAGATGGACATGGACTACCGGGGAAACTCAGCAACTTCGACTTACAAGAATGAATCAAAATAGTCCATGATTTTGTAAAATTTTTACGGTTGAAGATTTAAATTATACATTTCTTTAATCGAACTAATTCTTCACTAACAGTACACACTCTGCACCAACATTATATTGAAAATGCATTGCTATGTTATTTCACAATATGCACTCTCCACGTTATTGTATTGTGGCATCAGCCAATTTTGAATCCGTGTAAATAAATGAATAAAAACATGGACCACCTAGGAATGACTGGACTGCTTTAAGGCCACCATACACGGACGTACGGGGTACGCGGATCAGCCAAAATTGAGCCTCCAAGAGACCAAGTTCGCCTGTGTGTGGAGGGTCACGGACCAGGTCCGGCAGACCGGGTCCGTGGTGCGTGGTCTTTCAAGACGGCTTGAAAACCGGGTCCGTCGCGTACCAAAATTGCCCTCAAGTTCGTCCGTGTATGGTGACAACGGACCCGGTACGCGGACCAGGAGCATTTGCCCATGCGCTATCCCCAAAGAAAAAATGAATAGAATCTATTTTCCTTTAATAATATTCTTGTTTTAATAATAAAATAATATTAAATAATTCGTCAAATATATTCATCATTTCCCTTGACCCAAATTATGAATTTATTGATTAGAAATTGAATCATTTTGCACGCGACAAAGAGTAATTCCTAATTTGTATGGAATAGATCTTCGATTGGATTCTTATAGAGAATTCATCCAGAATAAGGGAATTATTTGTTTCTCCTGAATAAAATATTTCCATTGAAATACATATATGAAATTATCCATTTACAGTGAGAATATTGTTGAAATGCATACGAAATATTAAAATGAAGACTTTTATTTCATCTTTCATCATTTTCATCATTTTTGAAGTAAAAACTAAAACATTCGATGATCGGAATACTCTTAATCGAAGAGATTCATCGCGGAATTGTTTAAAATCATATGAAGGTATCAATATTGCAGACATTCTGGTCGTTTCGTGTATGGGGGTGTACAGACCACAGACCGTGTCCGCACGGACCAGGTCTGCGTACGCCGTGCGCCTGTGTATGGTGGCCTTGAAGTTACGTCTACGCAGATGAAAAATGACTGTCATTTTTTTCTTGGAAAATAATGACAGTCATAAAGGGGGCGGAAGGGTGGTCACTGTGACAGCCGTCACAGAAGTCTCGTCATGTGACGCATTTGCAAATTTGCATCTCTGCTCACCTCCCCGCCGGACGATCCCCCAGCTGAATGTCTCCCATCATATGGATTGACTGTCGTACCATATACTAGATTAGCCGACTCAAAACCAGAACAGAGTTCTGGGGTATTAGTCACACATAGCGGAATTGCACCGGCCTTTCTCATACTCGCTACAATAAGGCTGTCTTCGGCGGCCTTGATCCCTCGCCTCACTCTGGTGCAACCGGTCTGGCTGAGACCTTGCCGTGACCGAGGAAATTGAGGAAGTTTATATTACAAGGAAAGACAAGGTGATATCTGTTTACAGTAGGCCTACTGAATAACACGGAAGTATACCTTTCAGTCCGCAACTTTCTTTCACAGTGAATGGTACACCAAAAAGAGGTTTACTCATGGTTATTTCGTCAATAGTGACTTCTCCACTCTCGAGCATTTTATCACAATCACGAGCTTCTCTGACAGCATCTTCGTATCGCTCGTCAACGACGGCATTGATGAATGGATTCACCTTTTTTATCCTCTTAATGTATGCTGTAACAACAGCTTCGCTCGTAACCTGTCAAAGCAAATGGATAATTGAATTGCTTTTACGAATGAGTATAGTTATTGCTGCTAATAAATCAGCAATTTGTTTCCGAATGGATTCCTTTTTTTAAATTCTTATTCCACTATTCTCTTCTATTTTTCATTGAATTGAAATTTCATGGAAATTTTTGCGTATCATTTCGTTCTGTCAAATGATTCTACATTCAGACCTACTCAAGACTAGAATTCGTTTTCAATCCGGATTTAGCCAGAGTTTAACCCAGGTTCTGTCAGATTTTAGTCGAGACCATAAGTCAATATTTTCTCTTTTTCTTTATTGAGGAAGAATAGCATTACTGGTACATCTCATCCCGAGATGAATTGCGCATTGTGTAGACGATTATATCCGTTCCACTTACAATCAAATGGAGCCCAAGAAGCAATGACTTCAAAAATATTATTAATACCTACTAGGTATCATCGATCGATTTGGATTTTTACAATATAGTATCTTCCTATATTATATATTATAATATATAATATAAAAAGATATTATATTATAAAATATAATACCTTTCCTCCCTTTCCTTTCCTTTTTTTTCCTTCTTTTATAGTATCTTTCTATATTATATATTATAATATATAATATAAAAAGATACTATATTGTAAAAATCCAAATCGATCGATGATACCTAGTAGGTATTAATAATATTTTTGAAGTCATTGCTTCTTGGACTCCATTTGACTGTAAGTTGAACAGCTGTACTCGTCTACACAATGCGCAATTCATCTCGGGATGAGATGTACCAGTAATGCTATTCTTCCTCAATAAAGAAAAAGATAAAATATTGACTTATGGTCAATAAGGTAATATGGTATAATATCTTTCTATATTATATATTATATTATAAAAATTCAAATCGATTTCTGCTGATGGAAGTTTGGTACTCGAAATTAAGATTCCAAAATCAAGGGTGACGGGGATCAGAATAAGGGTCATAAGAGACAATATGGGTCACGGGCGCTGGGATCGGAAGAATCATCAATTTCAAAATAAGTTAAATTTAGCTTATGTTCAACTGATAATATTATCCAACAATTTTCCATTACCAAATTGCTCATCAATCGAATATTCAAATTTCGAAATAATCTAGGGACCAGTAATCGTGTCAGAAGATTGACCATTACATGTCTAATCGAAAAAATCCTTTTGTGAAATTTATAATTATTTACTCAATAGTTAATTGAAAATTTAAATTATGAATTATTTTATCATTTTCAAATTCCAATTAAGATAAAATGACCATAGTAATAGAAAGGTGCAAATTCTAATGAAAAAATTATTTTCGCTCGTATACCCTTTCGGGTTTTTACGATTTGTTCCCTTCCCACCCCCCATCCCCCTGTACCGCATTCGCCGAAGGACGAGGGAAAACCTCACTTGAGGGAAAAACCTGCCCAGGTACAGTCATCCCTGTAAGGTGAAACGGAACCCCTGTGTCTATATAAACCTTTAGAATTGTGTTTTCTCCTGCAATTATTATTTTTTATTTATGAAACTACTTCATTTACCCAACAATTCAATGATCGAGTCGATGAAGTCATTTCATAGGTATAAAGTAATGATTGTAGGAGAAAACCCAATTCTAAAAATTCAAATAAACACAGGGGTTCCGTTTCTCCTTAACGAGACTCCCGCTCGACAGTGAAACTGTGAGATTAGAGTGTTACAAATTTTGGCTCCCCAGCCGGGTATGGAACCCGGGTCGCTCACGTGCCAATTCCATACTCTAACCACACAGCCACGGCCGTCGGTGCAAATTCTAATAATATTACTGTTGGATTTGATGGAACGAAATAGTATTCAAAAATCAATCTCTACACAGCTCGACACATTTCAGTGTTACCACATAAAATTCTGCACACTGAGGTTCTTAAAACTGTGTTTATATTACGTGGCGACCCCATATGGCAGGCGACTACGAATACTATGAACAAAACAGAACAAAGGACAAGGAGAAAATGCGTTCCAAGTGGTCCAATGTATTGGTCCTTATTGTTCTGAAGTTAGTCTCCAACAGCCGGAGTTACAGTAAAGATCGAGATGCGTCTTCTACGTGCGACTGAATAAAAAGTCACAGTCAAATTAAATTCACAGAGCTATTAATTCAATCATTATTTCATTACATAATAATAATCCGATGATTTTTTTTCTCTCCGATTTATATTGTTTGGTATTTTTTTTATGTATTCTATCAAAATGTGAGGATAGAAGCTGGATTCATGAATATTCTTCCATTATTAAAAAAAATATATCATTTTTAAAATTTTCTGGAGACATCGAAAAATTGAAAATTTTGTTCTCTTGTAGATCACGTATCTCTGTTCTTTTTTTTCACTTTTTTCCATTGAAATTAGATCATCGAAAGGGAACATAGTGATATTTTTCCGTCATTTAAAAAAAAAAATCATTTTTGAAATTTTTCAGAAAAATAAAAAATCGTTCGCTTTTATTTTCTTGCTGATCATCTCTCGCTGCATTTTTCTCATTTCCTCTCAATGAAATCAGATCATGAAAACGAATAATATCATTTGCATTATCTGATAAAATGATTTTTTCATTGAGAGGAATTATTATATTATATTGATATTATTTAACATAAATATCTCTTCAGTTGAAAATGAGAAAAACTGTTCCCACAATTTGTATACTACAATGGGAATAGAATCCAATAAATTTAATTTAATCTAACCACAAAGAAAAATTGCGCCCGTTCGCTAGTACCCATAAATCCAATAATTACAAAATATTACAAATGTAATGATTGTCGACCGATCGCTGCACGGCGGTCACAATAAAACTTATGAGGGGCAAAATAAGGGTCATGAGGGTTAGAATAACCCACTCACTTTGTACGTTCAGCTACTGCGCCCAGTCCTTTCTCGTCCATCTTTATTCGAAAACTCAAATCGAATAGTTACAGAATTTTTTATGGAAAATAGGCAAAAATTATGTGAACTTTCAACAGAAATTCCGCTTGCAATTTCCATACGCAAGAAATAGAATTTCAATAATTGAAATGTGTACGTACCTGCTGGAGGCGTATTTTCTTTGCTAATTCAGTAGCACTGAGTTGAAGCAGAGGATTCTTCGTTGGAGGTAGTTTCGGAGGTTGCACACGATTCAAATACAAGAAGACTGGGTGTAACATCGTCAGAATCAGAGAAGACAGCCATGATACTATTCGTACCGCCCATTTCATCCTTAACAGGTGATAAATTATAATGAATTACATTTATAATCAAATTACCTCCTTATACATATAAGCAGTTCCACATCAAATTCGATGTCGGGGATTGTCTCACCAATTTATCTATGCAAAGGTGGGCAGGAGACGAACATTTTGAAAGAAAAATTAGGCAATATTTACTAATAACTGCAAAAGTTACGGTTTTTTTTAAATTCCCAGTTTTTTCTTTGAGGAATTTTTGTTTCGCATTATCAAGAATATTCGAGTTCCTTTAGAGTTACCAAATTGTCTCTTCAACATACACTCAAAGAATATAAAAATACTTTCATATCATAGTGCGATCGAAATGAAGTTGGTCGCAATCGATGGGCATTTACTTGCTTAAGACTGGATTAGGTTGGGAGAGAAAACCCCTCATCTCTTTTTGAGTTTTTCAAAAGAGAAGTGTCAAAATTGATATCTTATGGTTTTATACTATTTTTGACTCCTATTTCGCTGATGGTTTCACTTACTCCAGTTTGCTTTGTTTTGAAATTTCGGAAATTGGAATTTGAAAGAAGTGAAATGTTTTGTAAGAAATTCCCGAATTTCAAATTTCAAATTTTTTCATCTGAAATTTTTAGTTTACAGGTCAAGCCGAATATATGATTGCAACGCCCATTTTTTACATATATCGTGCGATATTTTATGATGCTGGTGAGAAAAAGGCGGTTTCTTGCACGCGAAGTGTGCAAAGGGCGTTTTTTTCACTTGTGCCATGAAAATTGGTAAGAAACTTCTCACATTCCTAATCACATGTTATGAAAGTCGCATTTACATGGCACAGCAATTTCCCAGGCACGGAAGCAAAAAATTGGTAAGAAATTACCCATATTCCTAATCATATGTTATGAAAGTCGTATTTACATGGCACAACAATTTTCAAGGCACGGAAGTAACGGTGGATGAAAATTACGACTGCTTCAATGTTTTTTATGAATCACTTATAAGAGTCTCATGAGCATTTCATTAGTTTAAATATAAAATACGAGTCACTCGACTGATTTGTCTACCAAATAAATGACATGGAAGCATAAACACGTTTTAGAAAATAAATCACGTCGATAATATAAAAAATCTCTGCATGGTTACAGGAAGATTTCTACATGGTTGACAATAAAAAAAGACTGTACGATGTGTATAGGTGGTCAACCTCGAATTTATACGAACTGAGGCAACTTTTGTCTGTGATGTGCATTCGGTGTTGAATGGCAACAACGAAATAATTAAGTGCTTTCCTATCTTTGCACGATCACACTGATCGATATGGCGCGATCAATGAACATTCCAACAATGTCCCTAACTTTATGACTTGGCTATAGTAACACTTTCCCGTTCATGCAGTGCACATCGAAAACTTTGGGATCTATTCCTAATGTTACACTGAGAAAACAAAATTTCTAAAAAATAGAAATTCTATGATTGATCCAAATCGTTTATCGATTGAATAGTCGCAAAAGAAAATGCTATTGTAAGACACAAATATCGATTTGAACCAAACCAAAATTGGATTGTATGAAATCGATTTTGTTATAGTATAGTATATTTTGTTTATTAATTCTATCGAATTTAGAAAATATATGTTTTCGCGACAAAATCGATTTCATACAACTCAATTTTAGTTTAGTTCAAACGCTTCGGATTTGGCGCAAATAATTTTTTTTTCACAATTGCAATAGAAAAATAATCAGTTCAAATGATGAAGAATTGCGTTTGTCGTAAATAAGAAACTGCTCACCGCGAAAGTTTTGTATCAATGAGTATCCAACAATATGTTCCTCATAGATCAAATGAATATTTTATTGCATCTATGAATTCTGCTTTCAATCGAACAGATATTCTTTTACGGGATATCGTGACGCTGATAAATTAGATAATTACATGCTTGATTCGAAGAAGATATCTGATAATAGACCGACGTCGGTGGCCGAAGCGGCTAGGTGCGAGCCTAGTGTGCGAAAGGTTGTGAGTTCGATTCCGCGTGGAACCGAGTTTTTCAACCGGAGGCTCCGACGAGCGGGAGGTCGCTAATAGAGTGATCGCCTGTACCGGCATGGGTTTTCTGTGGTTTCCCATGCTACTCCTATGTTCTATAGAAGTGCGAATGCATAGGGTTGGATAGGGCCGATTAGCCAATCAGAGGACAGAAAGGGCCGGAATATAAAAAAAAAAAATATCTGATAATACAGACATTGATTTGTATGTACTGAAAAGTAGATAGTAACAAAAAAAAAGTTTAGATAACTGATCTTATTCTTTTTCAATCGAAAACATAAAAATTAAATCGATATTTGTGTCTTACAGTAGCATTTTCTTTTGCGACTATTCAATCGATGAATGATTTGGATCAATCATAGAATTTCTATTTCTTAGAATTTTTTTTTCTCAGTGTAGTAAAGCTATCGGCAACTGAGGAAATTCTGTTCACGGTGAGAAATTTGTCGAAATTTGTTATCAATACCCGGAAATTGTGTTCAAGTGATATTTTTACTGTTTGATCCTATACGGCCCACTGCCACATGTATAGAAACATTTCATATGCTGGAGTTGCGACATTTCTCTGTTTTTCTCTGGAGCTTTTAGACGTCTTTCGTATGACAACAAAAATTTATGTTAAAATTTATGTATAGGAATAATTCGTATAGAAAATATTCGAATAGAAATATTCGAATATCATATACGGAAATCCTATAGAATTTCTATACGCAATCCGTATAGAAAATTTCTATACATAAGTCACACTTCGGGAAATTATTTCCAGACTATTTATAAAATTCTTCTTAGTCAGAAGTGTATAACACTGTTAAACAATTTTGCCTGAAATTTCCGGTGCTTCGAATTTTTCATCAAGTGACAGTTCCACTCAAATTTCAAAGAATGTCGTCACTGAAAACTCGCGATTTGATGAAAGAGTCAGTGGAAATTATACATTTTTGTTCAATTGTTCCATAAAAGTTGATGAAAATCAGAAAATTTCAGGTAAATATATTCTTCAATTTTCAATTCCTTGAAAGTTGCGGATAATCCGTTTTTTTTGTATTTTGGTGTCATTGTTAGTGGTGATTTCGTTAGCAGAAAGGGCAAGTGGTCTAAATCGATCACAACTAATCCTCCCTTTCGTAGAAATCTAACGGCAATTGCAAGATTCCCCTCTGAAGCCCTTTTCCTTGAAGCTACACTGAGAGAAAAATTTGAAGTTCGATTTACAATAAGAAAATAGTTCAGGCATTTTGGTGAACGATACGATTTTTTTTGTATGCGGCACATAACATTATAGTAACTTCACAAGCGTAATTTTTGCAAATCAAAATGCAGTTAAACTAACCAAAGTTCAAAAATAGCCATGACAAATCTATCGTGAGAACTATAAAATAGTTTCAATGACTACATTCCATTGTAGTAATTACTTCTCGGGCCATAGTTACCGTAACCCATGAAAAATTGTTGAGGACTTTTTGACTATAATTCGATGGTGATGGAATATAGTCAGAAGAATTATATTTTTCTCTCAGTGTAAAGAAAAAGTTTTCACAAACTTTTCTATTTCTCTGTTTCAAGATATAAGAGATTTACTGATTTGCTAAATTCTAGATTTCTCTTTCACAGATGTGAATCTCTTCCAAAAATTGACAAATGTTGTCAGCAATGTTCTTTGTAAGAATCACCATTCTAAGTTTTCGGAATCAGCAGTATATCATACTTTCCATTACATATCTGGAATTATTCGCCGTTCGGAGGTAAATTCTGAGTGGAAAACTGAACGCTCCTTCGACCAATTAACATACTTCCACTACAGTTTCGGTCATTCCCGATGATTAATATACTTTTATAGTATTAAGAAGAGAAAAGTGCAACCTAGATTCCGCGGAAAATTACAACATTCGAATACCATAGTTTATGTCCCTCTCGTGCTTGAGGCCATTTCTTTTCGTTATTCATTTTTTTCTTATTTCAACACTAAAAAACAAGCTTTATTTTGAGGATTATTATGATCTCAAATTGAGAGTTTCAGTTTGACAGACTCAAATTGAAAACTTCAAACGTCTGAACTTGACTTTCGAAACTTTCAACTTAAGACTTTCAGGCTTCAAATCAAAACTTTTGAAAATTTCAAAAGAAGGTATCATTTTTTTGAGTGATCCACTTGGGTTTCCCACTTTGTGGACCTCTGTTCATTGGAAATAATTGTACTATATTGTTATGGAAGCACCCTAATCAAAATATTTCTATCGGAAAAAGAAAATTACACTATTGATCTGGAATTGAGACAAAGTATTTATAACGTCAATTGGATTATGGATAGTTATTTTCCACTTTTTCAATATTTTATTTACAAGTTATTAAACTAACCCTTAGAAGAAATTCTTGAATATCTAAAAAAAATCGATTCGAGAAAAACAAAAAAACATAATGTAAACGAAAAATTAAACTAATGTGAATAGATGTGATGAACGCTACAGGTCTTACGGGTCTTCATACTTTTCAAGCCGAAGTGGCGGCGTTTCAAGAATGTTAAGTATTTCTCTGCGATAGTAAAAATTTTGACAAAAACGTTAAAAAATACGAATTGTGTAAAAAAACCTTGAGGAAAAAAAAGGATTAATTTTGAGGCTCGGGTGGATTCGGGAGAGGATTTTCCCATCCAAAATGTTAGCTTTGTAAAAAATATAGAGTCATTTTGGCGAAAAATTACGATTAAACCAACTTTAGACTTTCATAAGTCCTACTTGGAGATATTAAAAAATTCCAATTTAAGATTATCAAAAATGTCAATTCGAAATCATAAGTCTCAAAATAAAGCTTTTTTTTTTCTTGAGTGTATCCCGAAAAAAATGAGGTGTCACGTTGTCAGACTCAAACGGTGTCAATTCTAATTTTCGAGAGCTAAAATAGACTGATACAGAAACCGATTGCGAAAGCCCAATACCGTGGGACAAATTTCAAGGTCGAAAAGATGCTCTCAGCCCTCAGCCTCTGATGACCCTCGATTTCCGACATTTCCATGGTTAATTCCCGCCTTTCATACTTGTATTTTGACATTTGCCCTTCACATTTAGTTAATATTACATTTGATATTCTATATTTATGTCTGAAAAATTTTCAATGATAATGGGTCACTAACGCTGGTCATTGGATATTCGTCTCATCATATTCTCGTTTCTTACACTGGGAGAAATAAAACTCTCATGGAGTATACCTTACTTGCGTCAAGAGACTTGCCCATTGATAGTTGTGAAATACGAGATGTTTTATCCTAAGTATACTAGAAGTTTAAGGGACAATTTTTATTTTTCGATTCAAGAATTTCAATCATTTGCTCAGTACAATTATAATTATAATTATCCTCATCTGTAATTAATTGACTAATGGACTTTGAATTCATTAATGCATCGGATCCATTTTTTTACTTATTCGATTTGTAATAGTTTGAATTATGGATAAACAAAAGAATACCACGTTGTATTTTTATACTCGAGAAAAATGTCTCGTCGCACTGAGAGAAAAATCTGAAGTTCGATTTACAATAATGACCCTCATCTATAATTAATTGACAACGAAAAACGTAGAGAAATGTCGCAACTCCATACGAAATGTTTCTATATATGTGGCAGTGGGTCGTATAGGATCAAACCTATAGATATCGTATAGAAATAATTTGTATAGAAAATTTCTATACGATTTTTTCATACCTGCGGTCCTACCCCGGTCCTTTTTATGGAGTTCTCGAAAGCGACAGAAAACCTGAATAATAATATAATTTGTGAAAACGAAGTGCGAATGAACCTTTAAAATTTCTTAAATCAAGGCTTGGATCAGGCCTTGCCATTCAACCTTGTTCGAGCGTTAAAAAGTAAGCCGCAATTCAGGTGCTCAATCATTTTGGGGCTGAATAAGGGCTGCACTTGGGCCTCAGCCCTGATCAGGTATTTTCGAGCCTTGGTTCAATACTTGATAAGCCTTGTCTCCATCGTCAATCAGGGATAGCCAAATTTGTAATATTTTATTACGGTTAAATATTGTAGCCCTCAACTAGATAACATCACTCTTGAAATTTTTTGAGTACTCAAGTATCATCAATTCAAATATTCAAATTTTCAACTATTTTATCAATCAATAATTGAAGTAGGAAGATTGACGATTATTTGTGTCATCGAAAATTCCCTTCCAAGAAATTTGAATTATTCACTTAATAGTAAATTTACATTTTCAGATTAACAAATTTTAAATACATTCATTATTCGTAAAAAATCAGATTATTAATATTATATTATTTGAAAAATTGAATCAACATGTTTTAAACCTTCATTAATGTAAGAGTCAAATTCTTGTAATATTACTGAAATTTAATATTGATGAGGATCCCTGTCGTCAATTCCTATCGGAGATATCTTTCCGAATGATTACAACTATCTGTACATATTGAACTTTGATGAATGTTCCTTATCGGGGGTATTGCTACTGTCAATGCCACAGAATGAAAAGACAATAGGCAAAAGCATCGAAGATATTCGGAATTGAGTATCAAATCCGGTGCAATACGTAAGAAATTAAATCAGTATTTGCATTCCTTAACGCAGCCAATGAATTATTGAACCGAGGCATGGTTCCCACATTTGCTTATCCAAACATTTGAGGAAATTCTGACCGCAAAGGTGTTTAAATCGAGCCCCATTCAATTTTTGTATTTTGCATACATAATTCCGCGGTCTTCATTCAACACATGACTGTGCAATTTTATAATCCCATACTAAAACAAGTGGCATATTGCTCTTGTCTTCATATGGTATAGCTATTTTTGCTATTATAAGGAATATGCTTCCAAATGATCGTTTTTCACATTATTTTCTTCTACGGTATGTAATTCATTTTTTCATGTTATTAAATTGAAGGAAATTTCAACTTAGTTGAATGATATCGTTTTCCTTTAGTACGTTGTGGTACAACTGCGTAAAGAACGACTTTTTTGCACGCACGCGTAACACATCCTATTTTTTGTGATACCTGCCAAGTTCACGGTTTGAAACGGTCGTGGGGATAAAGTGGGTGTTTTTGTGCACGACCTCTGAACTTTGAGCACACGGAGAAAAAAATTCCACACGGAGAGAAATATTCAATAAAAATTACGTATCTTTTCCGTAATTCCGGAGCGAAATGTGGTTGTAGGAAATTTTACGGAACTGTCACGGAATTTTTCCGGAGCGTTCCGTAATTTTTATCTGAATCTCTTGTACAAAATTACGATACCGTCACTTAAATTTTCTGAGTCGATTCCGTAATCGGTGAGTGAAGTGAGAGTTCCATAATTTTTACTGAACATTTTTCTCCGTGCAGATAATTACTGTGGTAGTCCGATAAAATGAGTTCATTTGGAAAAATTATCGTGCTAGCACCGGAATTTCTGCCGTGCGCTAACAGGAATTTTTCTGCGTCCGTTCAAACGAACCCATTTTACCGTGCTGGCACAGTAGTTTTTCTGGAATTTTTCTCTCCGTGCACATGGAGAGAAATGTTCAGTGAAAATTACGGAACTCACAGGCCACTCATCGATCGCGGAATCGATTCCGAAAATTTAAGTGATGCTATCGTAATTTTGCCCAGGACATTCAGGTAAAAATTACGGAACGCTCTGCAAAAATTCCGTGATTTTAGGCAAAAATTACGTGACAGTTCCGTTAAATTTTCTACAGCCACATTGCGCTTCGGAATTACGGAGAAGTTACGTAATTTTGATTGAATATTTCTCTCCGTGCACACTACAAAAAATTGTAGTGCTGGCACGGGAAAAGACGCGCAAAGTGACGGCCAGAAAAAAATTCCAGTGCCGGCACTAAAATTTTTATTGGGGAAAACGTGATTTTTTCCTCGTATTCCTGTGATGATTTCACAGAAATCCCTAGGAATTTTACCAGAAATACCAAGAAATTTTACCTTGACAGCATTAGAATTTTTCACAGCCGGTGGATTGTGATTTTTTCCAGTATTCGTTCTAGAATTTTTCTAGAAAATGTCCGTGTAAACGGTTTCGAAAAGTGAACTTTTCCGGCAGGTATCACAAAAAAAAATTTCTCAGCTGACATTCTTTTCGTTCAGTTACAAAGACGTTCGATGTAATTCGCAATAGGGAATCGTTTTCCGGCAATTTTTATAGGAATGGAAGAGAAGAAATCTGAAACGTTCAATGAATTTTCAGGTTCATTACCGCACAAAGTACGAAATTGTCACGTAATTTTTCCCGAAGAAGTAAAATCTTACAGAAACTTCCCGACTTATTATGCCTTCAAAATCAAAAATTCTTGTACGTTCAACAATTTTTATGAAGCTGGTGAGTTATTTCTACGTTTCGTTCCGTAAAATTTCTCAATCGTTGGGGAAAAATTACGGAACGATTTGTTGTCCCCACAGCGGTGAGTCATCAGACGGGTGATTAATTTTTACGGAACAAATCGTAGAATTTACGTGGCGATTGGTACAATTTCGGTTTCGACGCACACTTTTTATTGAATTTCATTTCCCTCGCGGATTACGCTTCGACACGTAATTTTTACGTTTTTTTTTCTGGTAATTTTTATTGAATTTCAATGGAAGATATCATAGTAATTCTCATGAGAGTGACATTGAATGGGATTTTAGTCAGTGAGAACGAGATGGAAATTTCACTTGATGCAATTCTTCAGCTTGATTGAATTTTCAATGGAATATGAATTTCCAAAAATAAAATTACATGTATTTTCCATTTTTCCTGAATTTACCTGATTTTTATGAATTTTCACATAATAATTTTTCAGCTAGAGGTGGGGAAAAACTCAGATTTCCCCACCTGAATCGCTAAAAAGTGTGAGTTTGAGTAAGTTGTATTGCTTAATTTTTCAATGACAAGATTTCCTGAAATTTCAGTGGAAATAGAATACAATAAAAATTTCCGAGATTTGGCACGGAAAATTCAGACAATAATTTTTAACAGTGAACAATAGGTATGCAATGAATATACTCACTTGATAAATTACAGGAACAAATTCAAATCCGTAAGAAAGTATCAAAAAAACCGAAAAATCGAAAATGATTTTTCTTATTATAGCTTATTAAATTGCAGGAAACACACTAATAAAGAAGTAAAGAGATTTGAACCACTTTGAGAGCAATGCATCTTTCGTTTGCACCATGCAGCGTCCGGGCCGCAAATAGTTCGATCGAATGCACTGTATCAGTGGGCCTACATATTCTCACGACGACGGTTACTCGCGGACTGAACAAAAACACTCCTCAGCGTAACATTACTTATGCGCGCCAATGGGTTTGAGAAAATAAGTAACTTAGAGATGTTTACAAGACATGCCTACCCATATATACCCATAAGCTGCTGAAAATGCATAATTTTGCTCCACTCCGCATATTACATATTAACTATAAACAAGAAACACGTTTGATGAAAGCTGTATTGCATTTACTCATTTTTTTGTGTATTTTCATGGCCTTGACAAGTTCTGGATAACTCCAAATTTGTTTATTGAGATAAGAACAATCTGTTTTACACGTATGAACAAATCGTATCGAAATTTTCTCTACGGATTGCGTATAGATACTCGGATATTTCTATGCGAATATTTTCTATACGAATTATTTCTATACATAAATTTTTATTTTCATACGAAAGATTTCCGAACGCTCCAGAGAAAAACGTAGAGAAATATCTCAACTCCATACGAAATGTTTCTATACATGTGGCATTGGGTCGTATGGGATCAAACCTATAGAAATCGTATAGAAATAATTTGTATAAAAAATAGCCATATAGAAATATCCGAATATCATATACGAAAATCCTGTAGAAATTCTATACGCAATCCGTATAGAAAATTTCTATACTGTTTTCATACGTGTATAAGGGTCAATGATGTTGTAAGAGACATATTTTATGCACTTCAACCATCAAAGTCATGTGAAACGAATGAATGAACTTGTAGGACGTGAATGAACGTTAAGCGTCACAACTAACGAGGTATATTATAGAGGTAAGATTATAGCAGGTACACGCACGAAAACAATTCATACAGAAAGAATACGGTAGGGAATTCTGTTGGATTTCTATAGAAAATTTAATTAATTTTTCGTCCATTGTATTGAAAAATTCCCCACCTTTAGTTCTTTTCTTCTTGCAATCCAAGTGGCTTTATCCCCTCACTGTGGTAGGGGCAAGTACCAAGTGCGTTTCTTTTATAGGAAATGTGGGGTTGTGCACGTATTACGTAAAACCATTTTCACCTACTTTATCCCCCCCCCTACCCCACCCCTCAAGATCTTACGTAAGATGAAAAATTGGTGATCTTATAAGGGGCATGTCTCGTGAGAGTCATACGTTCCAAGGGTCATCGCGTGTGAAAAAGTTCAATAGAAAACCTAGCTAATTCGTTAGGAAATTCTGTTGGAATTCTATAAGAATTCTATGGATTTTCTATAGGATTTATATTGAAAAATTCTGTTTGTTTTTTGCGCTGATTCTATTGGATATTCCATCAGAACAAGTCAATAGATTTCGAATTTCTGTTTGAATTTTTCTCTTGAGATTTTTTCAATAAGAATGCTTGGGCATCAATTTTTCAAGTTTTTTCCGCTCGGATTCTGCAATCCAAACCAAAACAAAATCCAGCGGAAAAAACTTATGAAATTTGTGCCCAATAATTCTAATAGAAAAAATCTAAGAGAAAAATTCAAACAGAAATTCGAAATCTATTGACGTTTTCTTATTAAATATCCAATAGAATCAGCGCAAAGAACAAATAGAATTTTTCAAGAGAATTCCAATAGAAATCCTATAGAAACCCCATAGAATTCTTATAGAATTCCAATAGAATTTTCTAGCAAATACACTAGTATTTCTAATGAATGTTTTCATGCGTGATACGGTGCTACAGTCATACTTCCAAAGGAGTAAATTCCACGTGGTTCAAATGTCACAGAGATTTAAAACCATGAGGATCATCTCCATTCTGGAAGAAAATCGAATTAGTTCTGTAATTAATAATGTCTTACTGAGTCTTTAAGAAAGCCTTAAATTAATCAGTAAAGAATGAACAAATTGATATTATGATTGGAAATAATGACGTAAAAAAATTAAATAAAGCATAATACACAATGAGATTGACCTTCTGGAATGATGACCCTTTTGTGGACATACGCAGACACATCTACACATACATACATGTAAATAGATATTTCTTAACAATATCATTTCTCCATGTTTCATCATATTTCTAGAAATTTTCACTCAAAATTTGAAAATCATGATTACACAGCTTCCATTCGAAAGCAAAATAATAGGATCACAAATAACTCAGGGGATAATTATCAGAATTGTAAATAAGAATTGCATTATTGAAAAATTTGAGTGATAACATCCGCCTAACACTGTGATCAGAATGTCAACAAGCATTGAACTTAGTGAATATTTACTTCCTGAATTGAGTTTGAGAATGAATAAGTGAATTTCAATCAGTTGTATTGTAACAATAATTCAAATCTTATTCAGTAGACATTAGGAATTTTAGAATGAGGAAATCGTCCATTCAAATCTGCAAATTTGACCGATGGCCAATAGGCATCCATAATTTGCATGAACTGTGTCTTCTATAATTCCGCAGCCTTGTCAGTAAAAATATTGCACACGTTTTTTTAGTGGAAATGTTCAGTACAATATAGTTTATTGAAAAAATTAATAGAATTTGATTTGTATCTACAATTTATTCTGTTGAGTAAATAGAATAAGAGCGGACCATTACCACCTTAACGCCTCACTCGAAAGAATGAGAATAATCCCCGATGCAAGCTGCACCTGCGGGGCAGAATCACAAGACATCGACCACATACTATGGCAATGTCCTCTTCTGAATTCCCAAAGATTCGAACTATTGGCTAAATTGAGATGTCTGAAATATTTCTCTCCATACTGGACCTTCCAGTTTATGGTGGCAACCGACTCCGAAGCTCTTACAACAATAGATAAATTCTTTATAAAATGTAACCTTCAAATTTAACCAAAATGTAAAAGAAAAGGGTAAAAGGAAAAAAAAAAGCAATGTAAAAAAAGTTATTGTATAAGATCTCACCGACAGTGTAAATAACCCTGATATGGGTTGTATACTATAAATCAATAAAAAAAAAAAAATTATTCTGTTGTACTGATTTCTCTAGAAATTCCTCCGCCTAAATTATCCAAGTCCTTTTGTTTAATTCTTTTAATGAAAGGAGAGAAAAATAACGTAAAAAAAGCCTAAAAAATATCTGTCGAAGAATTTTTATAGAGAATTACTCAATAGAATAAGTTTGTACAGAGGAATCCAATTTTGCAGAAAAGCTAAAAAATTTTCAATAGAATCGGTGAAAAACTACTAGCATTCTTGATGGAAGTTCAATGGAATTTTCTAGCAAAAGCACTAGGTTTTTCTATGAAACTTTTTCGTGGGTGTTCAAATGTCTTGATTAGTAAAAAATCAAATACTTGTTATCTCGACCGGTAAAGTAACAATCAACGCTCCATAGGTCATCGCCTCTCGACATATCTGAACTGTCAACAATATAGATACCCTAGTAGAAATTTTGACTAGCGGTGCGACTTTGCCTGTCGGGGCGACAGTGGGTGGACCATCTATAAAGTGTCAAGAAATTACTGATGGTTGAACGATAATGACAAATATATTAGGGAACTTAAAAATAGAGAACAAATATACAAAGAACAAAATAAACATCGAAATAGAACTCAGAATAGAGTTCGCAGGTACAATTGCCGTCCACCGTAAATACTTTTCAATATTAAATCAATTTAATGATTAAATAAAAAAGAACTGGGTATTGCAGTATTCAATTCATCACGAAAATCAAATTAATTTACTCGCTAATATTACACACACGCTGAAATGTCTCTGAAAATATAGTCTTATAGTTATTTTTATTGTAAATATAAATGCACTTTTTTTCGCTCTAAAAACATTTTTTTTAATGTTTTATTTTTGTTTGAGCGCGTAAATTGAATTAATGGTATATGCTTCAGGAAGGAGCAAACTAATACTAAATGTCAACTGTTATGAGAACATTCTAAGAAACAAACAATATTTACTAAACTCGAGAATCACACTGTGATCATAGTTTATTATAGCCTATTATTTTTACATTAATTTTTTATATATCTGTTTTTTTGTATATATTAATTTGTAAACATTGTAAATACTCAAGTGATCTCGAATAAAAACATTGTTTAACCCTTCAGAACTCGCGCTATAAGCGCCGCGCCGCCTTTTTCAAATTTTCGCTTGCCTCTTGCAAAATTGAGCTTTCAAAAAATTGAAAAAATTAGAATGCCTAGCTTGAATCATTTAGAATGGGTTAGCAAGGTTCTTATCCGCTGAAAATCCATCAAGGCTACGAAAAATAATAAATTGTTGAGGCTCATACGCAAAAGCGGCGCCGTGCCGCCCAGCGCGAGTAACGAAGGATGTAAAATTTTCAATTCCGCTGTTGCTGTTTCCCGCTCGCCGCACGCTCGGCGCGTACCTATGAACGTGACAACGCTGCGTTACTGAAAGCACGGGCGGCGCAGCGCTCACCACGCGAGTAACGAAGGTCGGTGGCTGAGCGCGAGTTCTGAAGGGTTAAAAAAAACAGTGGGTGGGCCAGCGTCACCCGTGCGCGTCGAACTTTGCTCTCTAGGATGCTCCGGGGTGAGCTCCTCCGCTTACGTCGAACTTCGCTCTTTCGACCGCATCGGGGCGAGTTTCCGTCCGGCCCTATTGTTTTTGTTCATTCACGTGGAGATTGGGGAGAAGTTATGGAATAAGTAAAGGGTATCTTGTAATTATCAATAATGGAAGTGCATGATGATGAAGTTATTAACGATCTTCGTTTGTGGGTGATTCCTTCGAAAACCCCTGATGTGCATGTGGGAGATTTAATGAAAATTTTTACAAAGAAACATTTTCCACAAGTGCCAGTGACACTAAGTACTTTTTTGGGATCATCAGGTGATTACCAGATTAAAACTATCTGGTGTAGATGAAAAAACAGTGGGAGAGTTTGTTTATCTGGATTGGAGGAAAACATTTGTGCAATGGTGGATCCAAATCATCTCCTTATTTCCAATACAAATAATTTTAACAGAAAATCTTGACAAATCGTTTCAAAAGCTGAAGACGGTGCGAAGCAGTGGTAGGAGTTTTTCTGGAATGTTTCTTTTTCTCTGACTCTTCCCATCTGATTGATAAATTACTGTAAAACGTTTTTTATAACTCAACAAGTGAAGCAACAAATGAGTTATTTAAAAAACCGAGTTTTTTTTTTCGAGGCTATAGCGACCTGTCCAATGAGATGATGGGCATTTTTTATTGTTATAAGTCAGATCTTACCGACCATCACTTGCCTTACTATTTTTTCACTTTTTTGCTAATTTCGACCAATTCAATAGCACATTTCTAACTCATTAACTGAAAGTAGTTTCTGAAGTGCAGTCGTAATCACAAACTCGCCCACAGACTCGTCCGCACGTAGGGAGGCGAGCGCCCACAGAACCTACGGCGGGGCGTGCCGGCCCAGACATTCTTATGGTTCGTCGCCCCGACACGTAATGTCGCCCAGAAACATCCGGGGCGACAGTAAATCGACTTTAACCCTAGAAGAGCGTTGACAGATGATGCTGTTATTGTCAACGAATTGTTGGATTTTATGTGTTCTGCTTGATCCTTTCCATCACTAGGATCATGGTAAATAATATTTTTATTTGTTTAATTTCTGTTTTTTACAATAGTGGGGGACCAATTGCTGTAAAGTTATTAAGTAATTTTTTATAATTATTTTGGTTTCATTTTTGTGTTTCAACAGAACAATAAATTTAGCCCCGAAGATGGACACATATAGTGTCCGAAACGTAGGCAATTTGGAATGAAAAGATTTTTAATTTTTTCTTGTGCCTTTTCATTCTATTCAATGTATTAACTGGTTGCATGATCGCTCAATGGCCGTAAAGTGGAGGTTTTTTTAAACGACTTTAACCCTAGTTTAGTCACCACAGGAGGGAAACGCCGCAGAAGGTCGATTTTTTTTTCTTACCATTGACTGACTGAGCGGAAAAATCCTAAAAAATTGGAATGCGTCAATTCAAGTGTCTAGAAAATTATAATATTTTTTAAAATTATTTATATCCACAATTCCTGAAGAAAAAAATTATTTCTAACAGACGGGCAATTTTTTCCCATGTTAAATGAAATTGCCCGTTATGCGACGTTGCCGAAGTCTCGCTAAACGCGCCCGGGCAGTATAGAGTGAATTCGGCAACGCTCCGGCCTAAATAACACGGCGGCGATTCCCTGCGGAGGTGACCAAAGTCGCAAGTTCTCATATGGTGACCAAACTAGGGTTAAATTTCTACTTGGGTAGCGATTATATACCTTCTGTCGGACAGACCCCCTGTCTGTCTTCATCCATTTTATTTTAATTCATTTCGTATTAGCTTAATGCGTATTTTGAAAAGGAAAATCATAGCCATTTTTTATCCATATAAATGAAACTTTTTTTTATATCCGTCATAAATTACAAATTAGTTATAACCATCACTCGTAGTTAGAATATTTGTGCGTCACATGACAGTTATTTTCGATCTAAAAAATAACAGTCATTTTGTATCTCTATATCCATTGTTCTCTTCCATACATAATAGAGTCTAATTGTATCGGTTCATCTAGTCCGGGGAATTCAATAGAACATTCACAATAACAATTTTCAATTTATGATTACAAAAGTTTTTTATATTTTACTCATATCCAATCCATATATCCATCATCGATCTTGGGAATTTCGTGCTCATCGTGCTGACAGGAAGTGTAAAAACTGAACGACACTTGGCACACAGTGATTAACTCTTAGTCGGTGGTGTCCAGCCCCCAAATGCTTTCTCCAGTTCCCTCGCCACGCCAAGGCATAAACGATCTTGATGTGGAGCAGCAAATACCTTGGGATCAATGATATGTATTACAACAGGTTTAGGAGAAATTCTTTGCTAAAACTGTATTAAGTGATGAGGAAGTTTCACTAGACTGTTAGAAAATTACTTTTGAAATTTAAAGTGAGAAATCATAAACGTAGCCCTCTTGCTTATTGAAAATTATATTATTTTTTACCGATCCTATTCCGAAAAAATTCGCCAATTATTCCGTTTTTTTAATATAAATATTTAGCAGAAAATATTTTATAGAAAGAATGCACAAATTTTGATCCTCTTGCACAAGCTGTTATGTCGAGATATTTTCTACAAAAATTACTCAGTATGAAATTTTCTCAATTTTTTTCATTATTTTTCTTTCCTCATTGAGAATGCTTCCCACTTTTTCCGAAAATTTTCACTGTTTTTTGGTTCCGTATGAAAGATTTGTAATATTCGGATTTTGACATTTGATGATGTAAAATGGTATGAAACGTGGAGAAATGATATTTTTCACACACCTGCACGAAAAGTTCGTACTTTGTTGCCCGATGAGCGGGGGGAAAGTGAATACTTTCTGCTTAAGGGTGGCAAGATGTTCTCGATGGAAGAAAGTACTGACCCAAGGGAAAGTACTGGTTGAGCAACTTTCCACCCTACCTTTTGCGCTCATCAAAAAGCAAAATACAAACTTTTCTTTGCAGGCGTGTTAAAAAAAAGCATGTACACCTCGGGTGGACGAAATATGACTTTCCGCCCTTGGTGCGTAATATACTATTTTTACATGTCTGTATGAAATGTGTGTGTCAATTTCGGATTTGGGTGATGTATTTTTAGAAAATGTTGCTTAAGATAGATAAACTAGATAATCGGGTTTTTTTACGATGGTCCTCATGTTTTTCATAGAGAATGTTTATAATATTTCCCAGCTATTGAAAAAAATCTAACTAACTGTACTACACAGTTTAGGAGATAATAAATAATGAAATTCGGGCTTCTAATACCGAACTCGATTTATCCATCTTATGAGAAAACGGTTCTTACGATGTTTTTCAAATAGATTGGTAAATTTTGAATAAGGTGAATTTTTTGTAAAATTTTATACTACATAGTTTCTGCGATAATCAACTTTAAAAATGAAAATTTCGTGAAAACATTCCATATTTAATTAAAACAGTTGTTGTCTACATCAACAACATATGAGGATAGAAAATCTTATTAACTTATGCGAATGCAATAAATTAAGTAATTTAGATTTTTTTCCGGAACTTTTGGGTACTATTGTCTTGTGATATACTTTAACCCTAGACTGGTCACCATGCGAAGGAATTGTCGCAACACGTCGTTTTATTCACCTTGCCATCGACTGGTTGACCGGAAAAATTTGAGAAAAATTGAATTCGTCAATTGAAGTATCTGGAAAATTCTAGTATTTTTTTTCAATATTGCATCCTTAATTCTGAGAGAAAAAAAATTATTTCCAACAGGTGAACAATTTTTTCCCGTGTTAAATGAAATTGCCTGTTGCGCGATGTTGCTGGGAACTCGCTAAACGCGCCCGGGAAGTGTAGAGTGGATTCGGCAACGCTGGAGCCTAAATAACACGGCGGCACTCTCTCGCGAAGGTGACTAAAGTCGCATTTTTCCGTCAAGTGACCAGACTAGGGTTAAATACTGTGACATTCGTCTCTAAACGTCTGCAATTTTGGAAAATGATTGACCTTAACATCGGCGTGTAGTTTCAGCCCGATCGGTCCTGTAGTTCCTCAGCTTAACAACTTGTTTAAATTTTGATCTTCCTCACTATCTCAGAAATCGCTGCACTGATTTCATTTTTTTTCAAAACACTAGACTCGATGGTCTCCCTCCCTATTGGTCCTTCCCCAAACTCGTAAAAATTACTACCAAAAAATATCGTCCACGACAAAAAGGTTTCTATAAAATACACCTGCAGTAATAGCCACTGGAAACTTTTTACATCCAAAGATATTCATCCTCAACTTGGAGGTGACTAATTGAGCTATACCACTTCACTACTGGTTCCAAGAAACGCATAAGTTCAACTGGATTCATAGAATTTACCTGAAATCCTATGGGCAATCCTTTGGCATCCAGCCCCATGGGTACTTGCGTGGATGGAAACCCAAGGAGATTACATAGCAAACAGTACATTCCAGCTGATATGTGAAACACACTCTGCCCAAGTAGTGGAGCTCCACGTGTAAACGTTGGATACAAGAAGACTCCGTCATCCCCGAGTTGTTTCTAATTTAATATATCACAGATTAATATATTGTTCAAAGGACGCCATAAGTGTTGTAACTCACCAAGAGTTTGATCCGCAGGTCTTCCAATTTTTTCAAATAAATTGGTCCATCAGAAGGAAATACGCAACCATTCAAATCTTTGAAGATGCTCATGAAAATCGCCGACTTGCTGTACTCAGATTGTCCCACCAATGATTTAAGAAGTTCCAAAGCGGAATTCACATTATCCTAAATGAATGTAAACACTTTTATTATTTGTGACCGTAGAAGCGCCAGTATTCAACTAATCAGGTGGTAGATGAGAAAATTTCAGGATTACTTTTGTAGTAGAGGGCATCAAAATAGGAGGCATTTCTGTCGTAGCGAACAAAGATCCAATTCCAACTTCACAACTTTCCGACATCTCAGCCATCTCCGCCTAGAGGTGATTTCATAAAAGGTCAGTGCATTTACAATAAAGTACATCTAAAATTAGCCATCTTAGCCCGAAAGTTCAATGAATTCAATTAATTATTAGATTTAGTGAGGGGTTAAACAGTCAGAAGAATTGAGTTAAAATTTTTAAAGAGTGAATATACAATAATAAATAATAAAAAATAAATAAATAAGGTATATAATTTGCAAGAAATGTTATCATCAACTAAGTAGAAAATATTAAAGATGAAGTGAAACAAAAAATAATAACGATAATAATAATTATAAGAATAATAACTGCGTGATCTGCTATGGAATGTTTTATTCAGCCCTAATTAAGAAGGCTCGCAAACTGAGTGCTTTCTTAATCAATTTCTGCATTTAGTAATGAAATTTTTACTTCTTTCCCTCACTTCGCATTGCGCACTTAATCACTTTGAAATGTAAAATTTATGTACCCCTCACTGCCATCGGGTACGGTTCCTGTAAGGCAGCTTATTGGAATAAATCAATATAATAAAATAAATAAGTATGGCGCCCATATCGCGCGGTGTGTCCTCACCGGCCGGCGGCCTTCCGTTTACTCGAATTCGCTGTTCAATACTCGACAATTTCTACACTGACGATCAAAAAATTGTCATCTAAAATTTAATGATAATCTTGAGCTTCCACCAATAAGTTGTTCAATTACGGTATTCCTTTGTACAGATTTTTCTGGAATTTTTAAGACTAATCTCAGTTCGATAGTACAAACGGTTGTCAAAATCGGCGATTGTCGGAAATTTATTAATAACTAATCAGTAATTCATTAAATAGAAATTTCTTTTCGCCATTCGACAAAGGAATGTATAGAGTATGTTAGATAAAAATTTCAGAATTTTTTATGAAAATTAGCTCGAAGAGAGGTTTGAAAGAATTGAATTATCTTTTGTTTTGGATTGATTATCATTGATAATTGTTATTAATACTGACAGACAGGTCATCCGGTTTTCATACAGTTGACTTGATTAAGTTCGGATCCATTCGTCCTGATCAAGACCGGATCCGTCAACTTGATCAATACCTGATCAGTGGTCAGGTCTAACCTGATCCAAACTTGATCAACACCTGACCGGAATTTCCACTCGGGCGACCGGTAGGCCACGCGCTCGGGCAAATATGTGGCATAGACGCCGTACTTGAGGGTTTAACCCTAGTCTGGTCACCAAACGGGACCTTGCGCCGTCTTATTTAGGCTTTAACGTTGCCGAATTCACTCTACACTTCCCGGGCACGTTTAGCGCGTTTCTGGCAGCGTCGCGTCATGGGCAATTTCATTTGTGATGGGAAAAAATAATTCATCTGTCCGAAATAATTTGTTTTCTTTAGAAATTTTGGGAAATTTGTTGTTCTAAAAACTACTGTAATTTTTTAGACCCTTCAATTAATAAAGTCAATTTTTTATTTATTTTTCCGGTTAGTCAGTCAATTGTAATTTGTTGCATTGCAACATATTTCAAAGGATCAATTCATTTTAAAACTCAATGAAGAGAAATATTTGATGAAAATTTACATTTTGTTAAAAGAGAAAAATAGAATTTTAAGCTATTTGAGACTGGCTAGGCACAAAATCATAAATTTTACTAGCAATACTTGAAAAAAAAAAATTAAAATCTCCAAAACGTCGAGAAAATCACGTACAGAGTAAATTCGACAAAGACCCTTTTTTTTTGTATCCAGTTGAAATCCTTAAAGAGAGACTCCCCATTTTTTCTATGCTTTTCTCCGGACGCAGCCCTTTAGCCAGCCCGAGTGTTCAACACGTCTGCAACACTTGCGTGAATAGACACTGCCATCAACATTGCCGTTCATGGCACACCATGCCCACCGATTTTATGTAACAGTAATTCAATATCCATCTTGCGAAAGACAAGAAATCGGTATATATGACATCAACCTGACACCCATAAAAAAGAGCTGTCGATTAACTGGATGTGCACGCTCAAGTTAGTGACCGCAAATGCGCTAGGTTTGTCTATAAATTTCTTCCATAAAAATGATGACAAATTAAACTTTCGGGTTCTAATTATAACCAAACCTACTTTGATAACATTTGCACCTAGTTTTTCAAAATACTGAACAGCCTTGAAAATGGCATTTCTCGTATCTTTATTCGTAGGGGTTATTCCAAAAGTCCGCCCGGCATCCACCATGTAAAATACGTTGAGCTTGGCAATATCAATGGGCTCATCCAGCCGTAAATTCTGCTTACAGTCTGCGGACATTACTTTGACAGCCAAGTGTAAGTCCTCGGCAAATCTGGCCATCGGGCCGACAACCAAGTACGTTTGAAACTTGGGATTATTCGAAATTGGGAAATGCCCTTTGATTGGTATTATTCCTATGACACACGAAAGAGACACCATATTCAAATATATAAGAAAGTGATTATTATGTACACTGAGAGAAAAATTTCTAAATATGTAGACCATATTTACTTATAAGAGAAATAAATACAGTAGCGAAGTGGTCAAACGGTTTAAGTCGGGTTTGACTACTCATAAGTTTTCAATGAATATCTCGCAATCTAAGGCAGATAGCAAAATTTCTGCTATGACCTTGGTTGAAACGCAGCAAATAAGTCATCTAAAGTTACTGGGCTCAACGGAAAATCTCGACCGACTTCGGGACCCTTCGGGTTCACCGGCAAATCACGAAGCAAATCGCCAAATATAAAATTGCAGTAGTATCAATCTACTCCTCAAAGAGTATAGGGGAGGGTATGCCTGTACCACCCACCTAAGGGGAAATGCGAGTTTTACATTTTCCATTTCAACTTGAGTGGAAAAAATATTTTTATGTACTTCTTTGACTATTGAACTCATTATTCTCCAAGTGTAGACGTCTAATTCCCCTCAGAATCGATAAAATTAATTGAAAACAAAAGAGAGAGCCTATTTAGCGGTACGGTAGAGCACATTGAGAGCTTCGAAAAAGCTAGGGGAGGGTGTGCCTGTACCGCTCAGCGGGTAATACCGCTCACCCGATTTTCTCCACAACCATCAACATGAAAATTTCTTTCTGTTCCTGATCATGAAGAATTCGATGATAGGATGTGATTGTCGGAAAAATTTCACTCTATTTACCACTTTAAATATGAAAAAACACGTAACGAAGTTTTGAGGTCTTTACAGTGCAAAATTTGTGGACTTGTAATTAAGGTTTTTGATAGTTTCAAACGCTGAATTCTCATATTAAACTGTGGTTATTTGATTCGTGGTACTTTCACGCGTAATTTGAGACCAATTCGAACTCAAAACTCCACTCATGTCAATAATGATCAACAATTTTGTTGACGCCGAGCGGAGCCGGTAATACCGCTCATAGGATCGGCCACGAAGTTGCTCGACAGCACTCGAGTACAGGTTCGGTTGCGGCGCGAGCGATACACGCAAAATCCTATGAGCGGCATTGGAATCGTGCCGAGCGGTATTACCCGACGGCGGGTAGTACCGCTCAATAGGCTCTCTCTTTTATTTTCAATCAATTTTGTGGATTCTAAGGAGAATTAAGCGTCTACACTTCAAGAATAACGAGTTCAATGCTTAAATAAGTCTTACAAATACGTTTTTTATACTCAAGTTGAAATATAAAATATAAAACTGGCATTTCCCCTTAGGTGGGCGGTACAGGCACATGTACGTATATGTATGTAAGAAAATTTCTCCCTTAGATTTTGAGATATTCCTTGAAAACTCAGCTAAGAGCTAAGTCGACTTAAACCGTTTGACCACTTCGCTACTGAATTATTTTCAAAATGGCTTAAATCTCATAATGTTTTCGCCTCACGGAACTTGAATAAATTCTCATTTATTACTATCATTCCACATTACATCAGGAATCTTTACATATCGAAAAATTGGAAGTGCATAAAAAAATTATGAAAACAATAAATACTTAAAGATTGACGATTCTTCTGCGCGATTTGAATGAATTTATTTGCGGCAAAATCATACTTTGGTGCAAGAATATTTCAAGGGGAGATACCCCTGAAATTTGAAAATCCTGCGATAAAAATGGCCGCCGTGAGATTTCTTTCACACGTATAGCCACTAAAAATAGTACGTGATGGCATCCGGCAATAAAAGTATTATCTGACGAATGTGACTTTATAATCCGAGCCGAAGGCGAAGTAACATAAGATATATTGTGACCCATCTACACCTGTGCAATATGGCGGGGAATTTTAAAAAATAAAATAAAATAAAAAACCGATTTTTCTCTTTGAAAGTCTACAAAGTGAGTAAAAATGATCCGATTGTCTTCAAATTGGTGGGCAATATTCAGAACACTGGAATAAACAAAGCTACGAATGGAAATTTGAATCGGATGATTTTGAGATTTCAGAGCACCCGAAAATCGGAAAAATCACGAAATATGAAAAATCGAATTAGCTAACTTGCTTTGATTCCGCGGATAAAAAAAATTAATCGAAAAAAACTTAGCGAATTCGTTAGAAAATTCTATTGGATTTCTATTGAACTTTCTATTAGTTTTTGGCCGATTCTATTGAAATTTTCAGTAGAAAACAGTCAATTCGATTTTTCGAATACGGAGATATTTTCTGTAGAATTTTGTCAGCTCAAATTTTTCAAGTTTTTTTGTTCGAGTTTGTTGATGAAAAGAAAAATAAAATGAAAAAAACTTGGAAAATTTGAGCCGAGGAAATTCTATAGAAAGTATCTGACGAGAATAAGTTACATAGAAAAATAGAAAAATTCTATTGACTTTTTCTATTGAATATTTTCTATTGAACATATCAACATAATCGGCCAAAAACTACTGCAAAGTTCAATAGAAATCCAATAGAATGTTCTAACGAATTCGCTAGGCTATCTATTAAATTTTTTCGTGCATGTCGATTTTTTTTTCCCGATTTCCGGGTCATCTAAAATGTAAAAATCATTCGATTCCAATTTCCTTCCGTAGCTTTGTTTACTTCAGTGTACTGAGTATTACATCAATTTCAGGACGATCGAATCATTTTTACTCACTTTGTAGACTTTGTAGACTTTCACAGGGCAAAATCGGGTTTTTCGTTTTTTTTTTAAATTCCCTGCCATATTGAATGGTAAGTGGATCAAAACATATTGTTTTTAGTGACTACATATGTGAGAAAAATCTCACGAAGGCCATTTTTTATTTCAGGACTTTCAAATTTCAGTGGTGTCTTCCCTTAAGGGGAAACGGAATTCCATATGAAGTTTTGGAACTGTGCTTTCTCCAGCAATTATTATTTTTTATTTATGAAACTACTTCATTGACTCAACAATGCAAGGATCGAGTCGATAAAGTGGTTTCATAGATAGACAATATTAATTGTAGGAGAAAACACAATTCTAAAAGATCATATAGATACATGGGTTCCCTTTCCCTTTTAAAGTATGAGATTCTCTTCGGGCCACGTGAGTTGAGATGCCTGGGAGAATTGAGCGAATAAAGAAAAATCACTTGTCTCAAGTAAATATCTTTCAGATATTAGAATTTTTTCTCAGCGTAGAAATGATTATTGAAAAGAACACTTTTATGATGCTACTACTACCGGGTGTGGGTTTATGTCCAAATATGCCATTGAAAAGTGACGGGATTCGAATGGATCCGGCAAGATCGGAACCAATCCCTATGAGGGAAGCACCAGCTCCTATAAGTGCGCCCTGCAATATAGAATTGTGTAATGAGAGCGTAAAGCGCAAAAACAACCATCATAAACTTGCTCACCTCCCCTCCGGAAGATCCCCCAGCTGAATACCTTCCATCATATGGATTGACGGTAGTCCCATATACTAGATTAGTTGACTCGAAACCAGAACACAGTTCTGGGGTATTAGTGACACATAGTGGAATCGCACCGGCCCGCTTCATACTTGCTACAATGAGGCTGTCTTCGGCGGCCTTGATCCCTCGCCTCACTCTCGTGCAACCGGTCTGACTGAGACCTTGCCGTGACAGAAAATTACGGAAGTTTATGTTACATAAAAGACAACACGAGATCTGTTTACAGTAGGTTTACTCAATGAGGATAGATCTAAATCCTCTTGAGGTTTACTGCGCACAGACAAAGAGTCTGTATTCTAGAATGATATGACGAGAATCCAGACTCATGCGAAGCCAGAATCACAATCCAGATTCTAGAAGACTAAAATTGAACTTTCAGGCTCAAAGTGAAATGAGGCATTTTTGGTGTCGATTTTTGAGCGTTTCTCTAGCTTAAACTATTGAAGGTAGAGAAGTGTTCTCAGCGACTTTTTTGTTGGAAATTTTGTGCTCTACAATCTAAGTACTATGCATTTTACTCGTATTTATGACCGTGTGGGCTACGTTTACGAAAAAAGACGGCGCGGCATGATTTTTTTAAATGTTTCTACAGTTTTGAATTTTTTATTGTTATTCAACAATTCGGAGAACGAGTACAACTTAGGGGGTTGTTGGGGGAATCACTCCCCATCAATTTATCCAGTTTGGATCGACCGTCGAATTATTGCAATTTTCATTATTAATGAATAATTATATATTATGTTGTCATTGACTGGGCTAATACTGAGATCTAAAAACTGGTTACAGCGAATCTCCCACAGATGTCAGCTCGGCGGGAACGAAGTTTCCGAATTGAAATTATCGGGAAGCCCCTACTTAGATCCGATCAATTAGCCCCTCATGTATAGATATTCCAAATTTTTATTTTTTTCCTCATTGAAGTAGTTTTGAAGAAAATTGCGAGCTAATAAAAAACATTTGCTAGTTAGTACTTTTTTAAAAATAAATTTTTGAAAAATCACCCCTGAAAAAAAAGGCGTTATCCCCCCTATTTCCTTATTTCCAAAAAATTTTATCACCAATCGGTAGCAAATTGTTTGAAGATTTTTGCGAGTTAAGAAAAAATCGTCAATGCACTCCTATTATTGTGTAAATTAACAATTCCAATTTCAACTGAAAACCAGAGTTGATGACCAGAGTTTGTAGCAGAGATGTCAGACAAGATATGAATGTTTTTTTGGGCTCAAATGAAAGAGTGGGTCGAGAAATGACGTGCTAGAGCCTCTAAACATGACAAATGTCTCTAAAGACGATATCTGTTTTCAATTGAAAAGCAGAGTTGTGACACCATTGTCTAGGAGGACAATGGGGTCTAGGAGTATGTGTAGAACATTGCGGTCTAGGAGTCTCTCCTGGTTCAAAACCATCTTTAGAGGTCCTAGCACGCCATTTCTCGACCCGCTCTTTCGTTTGAGCCCAAAAAAACATTCATATCTTGTCTGA